CTTGAGGTGACTTATAACTAAGATGCTCCGCATCATTTTTTTTGATAGAAATAATGGTTTCTTTTGGAATGCTATAGCACTGGGGTCTAAGCTCTACGATGCAATATTATTTATATTTTTGATATGTTTTGGATCACTGGAAGCACTATTGCAATGGGGCCCAATTATTGGGTGCGGAGTGCGGACGTAGTTCTGTGTGTGCAAACAAATTGGTTCGCGCCACATGGAGCTGTGGTGCAGAGCTCTATGTGTTTTGAATTAATTAAAGATGAATTTATTGGGAGTGCTGCAACGTTAGCCCTTCAGGAATTGCGACAGTAGAACTAGATTTTTTATAAATATTAAATTCTGTTTAATGGGCCTTGAAGAAAATTTCTTCCGACAAGTCACTTGATAAAATTATTTGAATGGAACAAGGTTATATTTTTCCTAATTATTTTTAATAATATTGGGTTTTACGAGACAATGATGCCATTGATGATGATGATGAGGAGGAGGAGAGGAGGAGCACTAATTTTCTTATCTTCATTTAAAGATTTTTGTGTAAACTGTTGGTGGACTCCTATTATGTGTACTAACTAAATTACATTTATATTTACAATTGAACCAACTTTATCCTTACAGTATTTTGTTTTGGAAATAAATAATCAAACTATTTGTTTATTTGTGAAAGGAAAATCAAATGTGTGGTTGGGCATTATTTTAATTTAAATCTTTAATTGAATCTCATTGTTGAGAATTTATTTGAAATTATCATAGCAATTGAACTGAGTGAAATCTATAAACTAGCTAGGAATTGTAGCTAAAATGCTGCTGTAATTCAAGGAATCGTAATCAGTTTTGCTATCTACACTGCTAGTAAATTATGATGTGGAGCAAGCCCCTATAAATCTCTTTGTTAAGGCAAATTTGTAAGGACTTCCTGTCCATAACATATTTTGTTGGTGATAATAATTTGTGTCCCAAATATTTTTTGCAACAATCTTTTTAGCAACCGATTTTGTTATGTCCAAATAGGTCATAAAAAAAGTAATTGTGGCCAAATTTACGACAAAATTGGTTGCCTTTAATATTTTTTTTCTTCTTCCAGTGAATTGACATTATTTGTAAGCTACAATATATCCTAGATGATTCATTTTAATTAAGCCAAACCTGATAATTTTCTCTCCCTTTTTGTTTGTATTTTTAATTTTAATTTCGAATGCATTTTTGCACAATTAATACGTTAAATTCTCTCTTTATTACTATGAATTTAAGTTATAAAATTGGTGTATGTTTTAGTGTTTATTTAAGTTGTAAAATACGAAATGAGGTATGCTATATTAATGGGGGTGTGTGTGTATATACATAATTCACTATAAATATAGCAATATACCACAAATATATAAAGGATGCCTAAATAATTGATGTAGTACTCTCCGTTAGGGGCCAAATGAGACAAGTTGATTCGCGAGCTAGTTCGAGCTCGACTCGGTAACAAACTTTTCGAACCGAGCTTTTCGAGCTCGAGTTCGAACAACCCTCCACTTGACTTGTGAGCTCGTCAAGCAGCTCGAGATGGATGTTGGCCGTCTAGAAAAAGAAATCGACAAATCGTGTACGCGGGAAAATGAAACACAAGATATTGCCTGCGGGAAAATGTCATGAACGAACAGATACTGGCGAAGATGACACGAACTAAGACGACGAAGACAGACACTTGTTAAGACTACACAAATGGATGAATGTCGAATAGCTTGTGAGGGGCATTGGCGAAGACAACGAGAACGGATGGACGTTGGCGATAGACAGATGTGGATGAGCAGCTCGAACTACCGCGCGACAAGCTCTTTTTTCCCGTGTAAATAAGTCGAGCTCGAGTTCG